TGTGCTTTGTGACACAGGCACTGATTTTCTGAGATCCTCTCGAAGCTGTTATTTCGTCCCATCTATACATGTAGCCTAAGCCAGAATATAACTCATGACAGCCCAAGTTGTAAATGTACATATTGCGTTTATAGTATGCGACAGATGTGGTTAGTTTTGGGAAAGCTAGGTCTTTCTCTAGGTAAAAAGTGAATGCCTAGTAAGAATCGTCAGTCTGGGCCTTTTCTGCATCATTTTTCATAAAAGTACGTGCAATCTCGGCCTTTCTAAGATGAAATTCGTACTCTACTTAAATCTGTCTTATCTCATTATTATCTGTTATTGCAGCTTTTTTTTTTAATTTGTAAGCATTACACTTAGAGCACGTATCTTTTCGTGGTACATGAAAATGAAGGTTGTACTCATTATAGACTGTACGGCGAAAAATATCAAAGGAAACGGGGACAGTGCCTTGTTCCTGGCAATACTCACTGTACAAGCGATACAGAAGGGTAACATTGAGGTCAGAAGATAGATACCTACAATTGGGATTCTTATTTCTTGTAGAGTGCGATATATTCCTATCCTCTACGAACAATCCCACAACACATTTAAAATTTATCCTATCCCAAATGCCGACCATATTATGATTCTTCCACCAGCGCATTATCATACCAATAATAAATGGTTCGAGATCTGCACGAGACAAGCTGAGAACATCATATGCACCAAACCAGTAAGGTCCCAATGTACGATACCAAATATCAAGAATTGCACTAAAAATATAGCCAAAGAAAATTTCTTTCAAGAAACCAACAATGCGATATTATTGGGAATAGTAGAAACAATAAATATTAGGGAACAAACGATCAAATCCAGCAGCATCCTTACCACAAATGAATCCATTACCATAGATGACATCAAATTGATGACAACAAAAAGTCAAATCAAGAAATACACGTACCAGATATCATACCCATGGAACTTATAGCAAACCACGAAATAAAAATCGAAAAACTGAGAATCGCAGAGACGCATGGACAAATCCAACCTATCGAGATGACTGCTAATTTACCACAACTTTATACTGGATTCAGCATTACTTCACTGATAATAATCTTATTTGTGTCAGCGATACTAACAATATTCCTACTGAAGAAAAGAAAGCTTATTTCCAAAATCCTTTTCGGACCTAAGCTAGAGATGGCAAAAATCCAAATTTTAGACGAACTACTAGCCGAAATATCAAAAACTTCGAGGACGAAGTTACATCCAGAAGAGGTAGGAGAAATGTAATCATAAGCACCCAGTCTACATCATTCGATTATCACTCTTAGATCAATTCGTTTCATTTTTGCAATTAAGATTTTAATAAAGTAATACTGTATTTTTTGAAGTAGAAAACTTAGTCAACTCAGTTGTTAAACGAGCTTTTCAAGCTTTAATAGTTTGTGTACCGTTGTTTTGCTAACACCGATATCGCGACTAACTTTACGCACAGAAGTGTGCGCATCTTCTTCAAAACTAAGTAAAACATCTAATGCTGTATCAGCATTTGCAGAGGAACGACCTGATTTCCGTGCATTTTCAACCGAGCCAGTTTCTCGAAATTTCTTTTCAATCTTACTGACTGTTGAACGCGTTATAGGTCTTTCTGGATATTTATCATTAAACAAATTGCACACTTCCATCTGAGTTTGCGATCTGTCTCCATACCCAATGATCATAAGTATTTCGATTCTTTGCTTTACAGTTAACTCCATTTCTACTTCAAATTAAATCTAAGCAATAATTAAAACATTCACAATGGCATTCTTATAAAATAATTTTATAATGGAATCCTTATAAAATCAAACTTGTGCAGGAATTAAACGAAGATGATCCCAATAGAAGAATGCAATTTTGCGAAACAATGGTGGATAACTGCCACCGAGACCCTCTCTTGGTACAAAACTTTATTTTTTCTGATGAGGCCACTTTCACGTTAAATGGCGAGGTTAATCGTCAGAATTGTAGATACTGGGCAAAAGAAAACCCCCACTGGATGCGTGAGCATTATACACAATACTCGCAAAAGGTAAATGTATGGGCTGCAATTGTAAGAAATCGAATCATCGGACACTACCTTAGACCATAAAAACTGATAGACGCGTCGTAATGCTATTCTCCCATCTCGAAGAGTGAAGCCAATATAAAACAATTCACACAGCTGTGGATGACGTCAGTTTGCAGCAGAAACGGTAGAGATTAGAAGTGTTTATATGCGTTGTAAACTTTTTAAAGTGTTCCAATTTAAAAAATTTCCAATACATTAATGTTTTAACTATGGTGGCACCTTGCAGTGCATTTAATTGTACGCAGAGACAAAAAAAGGAACAGATATATCATTTCATGGGTAAGTAAATTTACAAATTAAACTTGAAAAACATACCAGAAATTTAGCACCCATTATTTTACTTTTTCTTCCCAAAGTGTTTAAAATAGATACATATGAGAGAAAGAGAGTCTTATATATAATTTTCATTTTATAATTAGATTGAAAACTAAAGGATTAAGTAAATAAATTGTTTTAGATTTCCTAAAGATTCATCATTGCAAAAAAAATGTATTATAGCGATGCGCCGTGAAAATTTTAAGCCAACAAAGAGTTCTAAAATTTGCTCCAAACATTTCATAGCGGATTCGTATATTACTAGAGGTTGGAGTTCGAAACAACAACTAAAAAAACGGGTGTGGCAGTCCAGTAGGACTGCCGGTAGAAGTTATACTTCTATTCACGCGTTCGCCGTTAAAAATTTATATGGTCAATCTGCACAATCATTACATATGTAATGCTATAGGTAAGAGAGAGCAGAAAGAGAAAAATAATTAGTTATATAGGTATATGGTGCATCGTTTGCTGTATATAAACATTTGAACTGTAATAGGAGTATACTAAATGAAGGATTGTATCAATATTTTAATCAATAAATATATATAATATAATATATATATATATATATATATTTATATATATATATATATATATATATATATATATATATATATATATATATATAATATATATATATATATATATATATATATATATATATATATATATATATATATATATATACTAGCGGACCAACTTGACAAGGAGTTTTTTAAATAAAATTTTTATTTTGCGAGAAAAATTAACAGATCAATACAAACAATATAAGCAAGAATATACATAACATTCATCAATAATAATGCAAGTAAAAAGTGTATTAAATATCACGAAATATTTCGTCGAAAACAATGTTTTTTGTTGCAATGTCTCCATTTTCTGAAAACTTTTGCTTGGCACCGGGAGTTATGTAAACTTTTACTTTTTACTTTTTAATAAAAACGAAACCGGAAGTCGACCTCAAAACCGGAATGCAATTTTTAGTTCATCAAATGTCGACATGGATATCATTTAGCAGTTAATTTGGCATGCTGATCACGAATCCGGTGTCAGATTTGCTCTATCTTGACGTTTTATGCGCGTTTCAGGTCACTTCCGGTGTCGGATCGCAACCGGAAGTACATATTTAGATTCGTCTCGACGAGACCTTTCGATCCATATAATATGCATTGTGGGGTCTAAAACTTAAAGTAAATTTTAACTTCCGGTCATCTCAAAACCGGAAGTGAATTTTTGTACCAAAAGTATATCTTGACAATCTCATACGTAATACTAATAATATTCCGAAAAAAAATTTTAATTATCTAATATGGTTTTTGAGTAAAGTGGTGGACAAGAAAAGGGCTTAGCGTTTTAGTATATAAAATTTTTATTTTTATATGTATAAAAGGAGTTGAATGCAAAAAAAATTTACACATACTCTGCAGTAAAATTCATTGTTTATTTGGTTATTAATATAAAAAATTACAATACAATAAATAAACTGCAATATAATTCAATATAATAATACAATATAAATTAAAATGTAATATGCATAAGTATTTAAAAATGCCAATATACATAACTTACTTTACGAAAATAAAAATAAAAAACCAACAGTTCGGATTATGTTGTAAATTTTCATTTTATTTTAAAATTTAGCATTTTTGCGTATATTACATATATTTAATAATATTTACGTGAGGTTTTTAAATATTTAAAAAAATAAAAAATGAAAATTCACAATTGGGATTCGAACTCACAACCACCGAGTATGAGCCAAACACGTAAAAGATTAGCCAATTAGACATGATACTAACGGATTTCAAAATTGAAGTTCTCGGTCAAACAGTGATTATTTTTTGAAATATAAAAGCCTAAAATAATTATAAACGTTTAATAAATAATACAAACCATATCACATACATACATAATAATATATATTATGTATACACAATATTATATAAATATATATACATATATATATATATATATATATATATAATATATATATATAATATATATATATATATATATATATATATAATATCGTCGGGTTAGTGCTTATTTGTTCCATACCACATTTTCTACTTTTTCGGGTTAGAAGCTGTAATGAAACATTGACAACATAATAATGTATGTAATTTGGCCCTGATAACTCTAACAGCCAAAACTTTTCTGTAATACCTTTGTAACTTTGTGCCATATGATTATTTTATGGGTTATTTCAGTGCTTAAGTGTTCCATATGCAAAGGCCAATAGGAAGCCAGTATTTCACCCGCGCATTCGGTGCTTCGGTGCTTGTTTGTGCCATGCCAGTGTTATGCAGTGAGTTGAGGTTAACGTGTCTTACTTCTTGTATGGTGGCGACTGGATGTGATAAATAAAAGTATAAAACGGGTAAGTAAATGCATATATTATTTATTTACGTGTGTAAAAATGTATACATATTATCTATTTAATGATGTGTTCTTCACTATATTACCAAATTTAATAATATCAATGTCTCAGAATAAGAATTTGGCATGTGGAACAAATAAGCACTAATTTGACGATATTTCTGCCAGGAGAGCGTAAAAACTCATGTAATTTTTTTGTTACAGAGTGGATATGGATCGTAAACAAATTAACGCTATAAAAAGAAATCTATTTGAGACGATTCCCGATGTTTTTAAAAGAAACAATATTGCAATGTCTGAATGTTCGTCCCCTGCGCCGTCATTACCTACTGATGTCGAGAATATGTTTGATAGTGACGATTCAGTCTGGGATCCTGATTATAATGCCGAACCACTCAGAAAAAAATTTGACTATAACAGTGATTCAAGTTCAACATCTTCTAATGGAAACAGACAAAATACAGAGAGTTCTACAAAAATGGTGTCAGAATGTGCCGAAAAATGTACAGAAGAAAGCTCAGCAGAAAATAACATGGAAAATCAAGATGTCCCAGCAAGCAGCAAGATGACTTCTAAAAAAACAAGAAAGCGATTGAGAAATCCTGAGAACTGGACTAGAAATGTGAAAAAAGTTCAGCGAGAACATGGGCTTCAATATAAGGACGAAAAAGGAGTTGTCCATGCTCCAAGGCAATGTCAATCCAAGTGTTTAAAAACTTGTACCTATCAATGTATTAAAAATATTAATACGAACGAAAGGGAGGTTATATTTAAAAACTTTTGGCAGCTAAGCGATAGCAAAAAAGGCGCATTTTATTCAAAATTTGTAAAAAGAAGTTCACCAAAACGAAGGTATGTGAAAACAGAAAATATTTCTGACTGCCAGAAACAAAATTCGTTTCAATATAATCTTGAGGTTTTAAATAAGCAAATAAGAGTATGTAGGGAATTTTTTTTAACTACTCTAAACATTAGTAAACAGAGAATTTATTATTTCTTTAAAAATCACTATAAGGATAACTCAGGGATTGCTCAGACTCCTTTGAAAGGAAAATATGCAAAGAAAGTCTTACCATTAGAAGCTCTAGATGGGGTACGAAAACATATTGAGTCGTTCCCCCATATAGAGTCTCATTACTGTCGATCAGATCGTGTTAGATTGTATTTAGATCCGTGTCTCTCTATTGAAAAAATGTATCGACTATATCTAGAAAGTGACTATAGTAAAAATTTTCCTGTTAAATCACATAAGTATAGAGAAATTTTTACAAGAGAATATAATTTTGGTTTTCTTCTACCAAAAAAGGATAGATGTGATACCTGCGAGAAATACAAATTAATTGAAAATAAAACTGAAGAAAATAAAAAACATTATAATTATCACATAAAAAATAAAATCGAAGGAAAAATAGAAAGAGACTTTGATAGAAAGGCCTACAAATTTGACCAGTCTACTGCTGTTTTATGCTTTGATATGCAAAATGTTTTTGCGCTACCAAAAGCTGAGGTGTCAAATTTTTTTTATAAAAAAAAGTTTTCAGTATATAATTTAACTGTTCACTGCTCCACAGATAAAATTACCTACTGTGCTCTATGGCATGAAGCCATTTCAGGCCGTAATGGTAATCACATTGCCAGTGCTCTTATAAAACTATTAAACACAATTTCAGAAACAAATCCTAATGTAAATAAGTTTATATTATGGTCGGATTCTTGTGTCCCCCAAAACCGCAATTCACACATGGCCTTAGCTATAAAGTATTTCTTACATATCAATAAACGCGTTAATACAGTTGAACAAAAATTTTCAGAGCCTGGACATAGTTTAATTCAAGAAATCGACTCTGTTCACAGTAAAATAGAAAAGTATTTAAAACATAGGGAAATATACAGCCCTGTTTCACTTTTAAGACACCTCGTAAATATACCCCCCGGTAAAGCACCTCTCAAGGTACTGCAACTAAAAAAAGAAGATTTTTTAAATTTTCAAACAGTAAGCCAAACTCTAAATTTTAAAGATCTGACTTTTACTAAAGTTAAACAAATTAACTATAAAAAAGATGACCCCTTGCATATTAGTTTTAACTGTGATTTTAATGAAAATGACAATGTTACTTTTATTAGACTTAATAAACATGAGACACGCGGCTCTGCTAAAAAACATGGCAAAAACGATCCTAATATTACTAACTTTTCCATGGTAAAGGTTATTACCGAAAAACCTACAGTCGATGCTAAAAAAATAAAGCATATCGAGTCTATGTTTGCCTACATGCCTGAGGTTGACAAAATATTGTACAGAACAATATTTTCTTCACTAAATAAATAATTTTATTTCATCAACTGCAAGTATTTGTTTTAATTACGTTATGAGTAGGTACCTACTGCAAAGAATATTTTACTTTTATTTACTGTTTGTTTCACATACACATGTTTTGATTATTAATAAATTTTAAAAGCAAAAAGGAGTTTCCTTTTTGATGTACCCTTGTATGAAAAAAAGGTGCAATAATATAAGGTTCATTCTTTTAGTTACAATATTATTCATTTCAATGTTTCAATATTTCAGTTACAATATTTCAGTTACATGACGTGTACCTACGGCGAAGAATGTAAAACTTTTACTGTTTGTTTCACATAAACATGTTTTAATTCTTAATAAATTTTGAAAACAAAAAGCAGTTTTCTTTTTGATGTACCCTTGTATTTTTTAAAGGTTCAGTAATATAAGATTAGAAATATTGTAATAAACTGTGATCTAACTGTAGAATGATACATAAGTTATAGAAACGCAAACTAAAATATTTTACTTAAAATGTTATTATATAATTCAGTTTTGTACTTCATTGTATATGGAACAAATGTGCAAATTCGTGTACTAGTTTTACTTTTTGTTACATAAGCAAAGGTTTTTATTTTTTTTTTTTTCAAATTGGAAAAGAGTCAGTAAAAATTTGAAGTCATAATCCAGCACACCATTTTAAATATTTGTTTTTAGAATTAACATCATTTTCCTGAGTTTTAAAATAAACGAGTAAATATTACCAAAATATTCAAATGTAAATATCTCAAAACGAGAATTTGGCATATGGAACAAATAAGTACTAGCCCGACGATATGTATATATATATAGATATATATATATATATATATATATATATATATATATATATATATATTTATATATATATATATATTATATATATATATATATATATATATATATATATATATATATATATATAATTTATATAGTATTAAATATATATCGTCCCCTTAATACTACAACTAGGTAACTCGAAATTTTACGATTTTGAGTTATCTACCGTTACCAATATAATTTTTGACGATCTTTTTAATACAACTATGTAAGTTCTATGCCCATTCTATACATGAGAATCCAATTACACACTAATAGCTATGTCATAAGTTCGAAAAAAAAATTGTTGCTAAAAGTGGTCATATTGAAATATCTAAATGTGCAACTGACAACGCCAAAAATGTCTGCTGCACCAAGTGTTTAACTTGACATACTTAATTGTGCGCCCGGGTAACTCGTGTTAGGCGTTGCCTCCTCCGGATATTCTTTAAGATACCTATTGGGACCGTGCAAGTTCGGAACAGCGACACCTGGTGTCGTAAATCAGCAAAATTTACTGCGCTTTCATGTGAGATCGAGGTTACCGGATAACTGTCAAGGACGTAGCCCCAAAAAAGAATAAGAAGAAAAAGTAAAATTGAGGTTATGTCGGTATGTTATTAAAAGGTAAACGTTGTATGTAGTGTAAATACAAATAAATATATTATTAAATTACAGCATTACTGTTAATATGGATGCAATAATAAAAACTGGATTTGAGAAAGTAAATCACCAAATAACTTTTCAACCAAGCACTGAGTCAAAGGGAAAATGTGGCTTAGTGGCAAATGTCAAAAAAGAATGGAAGAATTATGTGGAAGAATTAAGAAAAATAAATTACCATAAATAATGCTAATGCATAAATGCATAAATTAGCAGGTTAAGCCCATGATATCATCATATTTGTTTGAACAATTAATTATTTCCCTGTAAAGTTTTGGACAGCGAATATATCTTAATGCATCTTCAGAAAAACTTGAACTTGATGGATTTTTGTAAACTTCAAAAAAATAAAATTTAAACATTAAACTTGATTTTTGGGTTAAAATGAACTCTAAGTGAGTGTTATGAAACTACAATTTACACTTAAAAGTGAACTTTTATTTATTATTTATTTCAAACTGACTTTAAAATCGGGCGCAAGAATAATGCATAAATTAGGTGATGTTACTTATGCTTTTTTATGATATAAATCCACTTTTCTCTTTGTAGTAGTTTTGTGCTTCGAAGTTGGGAACGAATAAAACTTAAATTGACAATTTTTTGTTGTATTTTTAAAATTTATAACACAGCATTTCCTAAATCCCATTTTCTTCAGTGACAGAAGGTGTAAGTAAACAAACGAATATGAAATATGACAATTGACAATTTGACAATATGAATTTATGAAATCTATGAAATGTGCAGTAAAAAATGCAAGATTTCTCCGCTACTCGCGCACGATCGTTTCTCGTATCCCCTCCAAGTACTTGCACGTCGCCAATTTGTGCAGTTCGTCATAGCGAACGTTGTGAGTGACATTGTTGCTTTATTTTTCGTAATATTTTTTTAAACAAAAGTAAAAATGTCTACAAGAGCCAAATATATATTAAGATTAGTACGTGACCAGTTAACAGAAACAAAAAGTGAGTGTTTAAATACTATTTGGAAAAATAAATTTGTTAAAATCGTGGGAGAGCTTATTTTTATAGGTTAGGTATTTGTTGATTCATTAGTTTTTGAACATAAATATAAAATTGATACTGTAGGATACTATTTTTATGTGATAAGCATAATATGCCGAGTATGCATGTTATGGTGAACTTATTTTTAGAACTAATTTAGTACAGCCTATAAAAATATATTTGTAAAACGCTTTTTTTTTTAAAGTTTTAGGTTATCATTATTTACATTTTTTAGCGGTTTAAGACTAATAAACTATTAGACTATTTAAGATTCGTTAAAATTTTTTAAATAGTTGTTTTTTGTAAAACGTATAGGTATCTTTCATTCGCAAAATTTAAAAATATAAACATTTCTTTAAACTTTTTTAACATCCACTTCTAAACAATGTTATAACGATTCGGAAACAGACTCTGATCCCTATTCTCCTGATCACTCGGAATATAATCCGGACTCTGATGATTCTTCTGACACTGAACTTGCTCTCGGAAATGGAACTTTTCAAACTATTAATAACGACTTGCATGACATGGAAGAGTTGCCTGTTATGACAGTTAAGTCAAGAAGAGGAAAAGAAATGAACAAAACTGGAAAAGAAATATTGCAAAATCAAGAAAACAACGCAGCGAAGCATACTTATCTTCTAGGGGTAAATACGTACCAGGAGTAGTCATGAAGGATGCTTGTTTAGCTACATGTAAGTAAACGAAAATGCACAAAAAAATTTTCCACGTCATCACGTCACCTGCTATTCTGGCAAGTGTAAAAAACCATATTGAGAAGTTCCCTGTAGTCAGTTCACATTATTGCCGTTCAAAAACACAACGGAAATATGTATCCTCAGACCTTAATAGTGATGTAAAAAAACGTGTTTTTTTTATTCTAAAAAAAAAAACGAAAAAAAAAACAATAAAAAACGTGTTTTTTTTTTTTGTTTTTAATTGTTTTTTATTAGTTTCTCAACGTAATATTAACAATATCAATATTAGGAGTTGTTTGTAAGCCTAAAAATCGCCCAATATTTCAATATTATATCCAAAACATCTAGAAACTTCAGTAGGAAGAACTTTGACGTTCCTTTTTAAAAAATATTGAAACATTAAACCCTTACTGCCTTTATCTATTTTTTTTACGTCGTTGCTTTTGGGGAATCACCGAAATTTAGCAGGACGCTCGTATTCGTTGGCGCTGAGAAAACCGGGGAATTACCGATTAGCTTTTGCAGGCAGGTGTTCTGTTGTTATTTTGTGATTTACTTGCCTTGTGCCGGAAATATTTGTGTTTAGTGCTTATTTAAGTGTGTTTAAATAAATTAATTATTGTTAATTATATTTTCTGTGTTTTATGATAATAAATTATTTGTTACCTACTGTAGTGACATTAGTGACAAAAACTGAATGTTTATAATGTCTTCGAATTCGAGTTCTTGTTCTTCGCGGGAATCACGGGGAAGGAAAAGTTGCAAAGTAAGTTCCCTGTTTAAAATGCTAAAAACACAGAAAAAAAACTCCTCAAGCAGAGTGTACTTTTTGTACACTTCAACTATCAAAAAATGGGACACGTTTGTTGGAACATATTAAAAAATGCCAAAAATGTCCAGAGGAAGTTAAAATAAAGTATGGAGTGACGGAGAGAAAACAACGAAACATTTGACTATTACAAACAATACATGAAAAAAGGGAGGAAAAAGTTAAAGGTATGTACCAAAGCTCTAAAAATATTTCCAAATTTCCCTCTTCTTTATTTAGTAGAAATTCCTAAATATAACCTTACTTTACAGACTTATTTTTAAATTTAATAAATTTGGGAATTTTATTTACAGAAAAACCGAAATCACAATCTAAAGAGGTGTTCGCATTCATGGATAAAATGACACCTGAACAAAAAGTAAAAGCCGATGAACTGCTTAGCCGGGCTATCTATTCAAGTCAAGCACCACTGGCTTTACTAGAAAATATACAGTGGCAGAAGTTGTTTAAATTTCTCAGACCTGCTTATCAGATACCAACCCGACACCTTGTATCAGGCCCAATATTAGACAGTGAGCACCTACGTGTAAAGGCTATGGTTTCGGAAAACATTGGTAAGATTAAGTTTTACCAAATTTATTAAAATTTATTGTTTCGGCCCTTACTCTGTGAAATTCTGCATCATAACAATAAATTAAATATTTTTTAGAAAATCCACAAATTACATTAGTTTTAATAATAATCTAATACGGTTCCAACCGGTTTCGATGCCATTGCATCATTACCAAGGAGTATTGTTCTGAAGCTATTTTCTTGTGGCATTGTAAATTAATTACTATTAAACTGGGAATAAGCCACAATTAAAGATAAAAATACGTTTATTGACGTTTCAATTTCCACTTCGGAAATCGTTCTCAAAATACAAACAGTAAATTAAACAAATTTTGTTTTTTGTTACATAGTGAAAAATTCTTCTAATAATTTAATTTTATCTGCTCATTTATATTGACAATTCAGACATACATTATACATTTTAAAGTAGACGACTTTAAAATGATATTGCCAATATTGTTGAGTTGCGCTCCTGGGACGACTTTACTTATAAGATAGTTCATTCGATTACATGAAATCAACTTTAACTTGAGAATATCCGTCAGAAAAAAATCATAGCATGTAATTCGTCTTTAAAAAGACAAACACATGACATGATGACAGTAAAATTCCATAGTAAATTATGAGGGAAAAACCAGGAAAAAAAACCTCATAATACTATCCCGACATTGTAAGTATTTGTTCGTGAATTTAGTTTACCTTCAACAAACATCAAAATTCTGATTTTATATGTTACGTTATTTAAAAAACATAAATGATGTATCCTCTATATGTTACTGACTTACTAATACTGGTATTTTCTTATTAATAACTTCCTCTTTCAGTATTGTTAACCAGATCCTACTACATTCTGCCGAGGAATTTGCGACACAATTGGCCTCATTTAGCATAATTATAGCCGCTTCTTTGATTTTTCTTTTTTTACCATCCGTTTCTTTTAGGACTACATTTGAATTATTCCATTGAACCCTATGTTCATTATCCCATGCGTGTTTACAGATTTGAGATCTATCAAATTCTCTATTTTTAATATAAGATTGATGTTCACTTATTCTAACATTTAATGGCCTTGATGATTCACCTAAATAAAACTGATCGCATTCACAAGGTATTTTATAAACGCAATTCTTTGTCCTTTCTTGTTCCATGGTTAGGTTTGGTTTTGGACAAAATAGATCTCAACGTGTTTGTTGTTTTGAATGTTGTTTTGAATGTTGTTGAAATGTTGAATTTATTTCCTATCCTTTTAAGTTTTTCTGATAGTCCTTTTATGTACGGTATTGTTATTTTCCTCATATTATTCCTTGTGTATGCTGTAGGATCTCGTTTTAAGTTGTTCTGTTCTATTCGATCGATTGTTGAAAATTCCTTATTTATAAACGATAAAGGATAATCATTTTTTAATAAAACAGATGTTAACAAATGTTTCTCCTGCAAGAACGAATTTTCGTTAGAACAAGCAATTTTGGCTCTATCGTATAAGGATTTAATTATTCCCTTTTTTACATTAATATTGTGATTTGATTTGAAATTTAAATAACTATTGGTGTGTGTTGGTTTTCTATACACCTGAGTCTCATATCCAGTATCGTTCTTAGAGATTAAAACATCCAGGAAATGTAGCGTGTTATTATATTCCTTTTCCATGGTAAATGTTATTGTCTCTTCTTTATCGTTTATATCATTTAGGAATGTGTCCAACAACTCTGATCCATGAGGCCATATTGAGAATACATCATCTACATACCTCCACCATACTGTGGGTTTGAAATTTTGTTTAGAAATAATATTTGTTTCAAAATCTTCCATAAATATATCGGCTAAGAATGGAGATAAACTAGAGCTCATTGCTAGACCAAAATTTTGTTTATAGAATTCATTATTTAGTTGAAAATATGTATTATCAGTACATAATGTTAATAACTCCATTATAGCCGATATGTTTAGTCTTGTTCTAGTTGCCAATGAATCATCACTCTCTAATTTTGTCTTGACTATACTTAAAGTCTTATTTAATGGCACATTCGTAAATAAACTATTTATGTCAAAACTTACCAAAGTATGATTTGAATTAAATTCAATATTTGATAATTTATTTAAAAAATGTTGTGTATTTTTTATGAATGTGTCATTTTTATGTGTAAATGGTTTTAAAATATTTAATAAAAATTTTGATAGTTCACTACAAGGAGAATTCATGGTACTACAAATGGGTCTAAAAGGTATATTCGTTTTATGAATTTTCGGTACTCCATAAAAATGAGGAGTCTTACTGTAATGAGGTGTAATTAATCCTCTCTGATAACTTGTTAAAACATCTTTAAACTTGAATAAAGTTCTATATATTTTGTTTTCCAAAGACTTTGTTGGATCTTTTGTTAATTTTGTATAAGGTCCAATATCAGAAAAACTTAAAAGGATAGGAAATAAATTCAACATTTCAACAACACTCAAAACAACAAACAGGTTGAGATCTATTTTGTCCAAAACCAAACCTAACAATGAACAAGAAAGGACAAAGAATTGCATTTATAAAATACCTTGTGAATGCGATCAGTTTTATTTAGGTGAATCATCAAGGCCATTAAATGTTAGAATAAGTGAACATCAATCTTATATTAAAAATAGAGAATTTGATAGATCTCAAATCTGTAAACACGCATGGGATAATGAACATAGGGTTCAATGGAATAATTCAAATGTAGTCCTAAAAGAAACGGATGGTAAAAAAAGAAAAATCAAAGAAGCGGCTATAATTATGCTAAATGAGGCCAATTGTGTCGCAAATTCCTCGGCAGAATGTAGTAGGATCTGGTTAACAATATTGAAAGAGGAAGTTATTAATAAGAAAATACCAGTATTAGTAAGTCAGTAACATATAGAGGATATATCATTTATGTTTTTTAAATAACGTAACATATAAAATCAGAATTTTGATGTTTGTTGAAGGTAAACTAAATTCACGAACAAATACTTACAATGTCGGGATAGTATTATGAGGTTTTTTTTCCTGGTTTTTCCCTCCTAATTTACTATGGAATTTTACTGTCATCATGTCATGTGTTTGTCTTTTTAAAGACGAATTACATGATATGATTTTTTTCTGACGGATATTCTCGAGTTAAAGTTGATTTCATGTAATCGAATGAACTATCTTTAAGTAAAGTCGTCCCAGGAGCGCAACTCAACAATATTGGCAATATCATTTTAAAGTCGTCTACTTTAAAATGCATAATGTATGTCTGAATTTTCAATGTAAATGAGCCAGATAAAATTAAATTATTAGAAGAATTTTTCACTATGTAACAAAAAACAAAATTTGTTTAATTTACTGTTTGTATTTTGAGAACGATTTCCGAAGTGGAAATTGAAACGTCAATAAACGTATTTTTATCTTTAATTGTGGCTTATTCCCAGTTTAATAGTAATTAATTACCAAGGAGTGTTGTACAAAATGATGTAATTTGGCATCGACTCCGGTTGGAACCGTATTAGTTCATTAAAACTAATGTAATTTGGGGAATTTTAGAATTTTAAAAAAAATATTTAATTTATTGTTATTATATTTATTAAAACATTGACAATATATAGGCGAGCCGTTGTAAAATTACCACTGAACAACGTACTACGGACGAAGTTTAACAGGAAAGACCTTGAACAGCAACCAGATGCGGTACAGTGTTGTACCACACCGTCCGTCGTATATATTTCAGTAATTTTAGAACGGCCCGACTTTAATATAAGTAAACCTACATTATGCTAGTAGGTTAAAAATAATTATCTCTTTACTTTAAGCTGAAGCACATTCTGTTGGACTAATGGTGGATGGATGGTCCAATATTAGGAACGAGGCTGTCCTAAACTTTGTTATAACAACTCCAAAGCCATTCCTTTTTAAAATTATGCCCACAGGCACTGCACCTCATACTGCAGAATATATGGCAAAAACCCTTAGTGCAGTAATACGTGAAATTGGTCCCCGAAAGGTATTTGGTATAGTCACAGACAATGCAGCAAACATGAAAGCTGCTTGGGCCTTGATTGAAAATGATTTTGATAATAACATTTTTACCTATGGATGCTTTGCTCATTCTCTTAATTTAATATTTACCGATCTCAAAAAGTTAACAAGTCTGAAATCGTTTACTGCCGAGGCTGTTGCCCTTACAAAGGCCATCCGACAAAGCCACATATTATCTGCGTGGGTAAAGGAAAAACAAAACGAATTAAAAATAAGTTGCAGTCTTAAACTCCCAGTGCCTACCAGATGGGGATCATTAGTTCTTTGTCTACAATCATTGCTTGCTAACAAATAATAAAAAGGATGGTATCAATGAAGAAGTTGAAAAAGCAGTAAGCAAACACCCATCTTTAAAAAAAATGCTCTAAGCCATATATTTTGGGACCGGGTACAAGGATACATTATGCTTCTTATTCGCAATACTTTAGGTTATTACAAATTTTGTTTTACGGGAATAATAAAGCGATTAAATGGGAACATTTGCAAAAATTAGTAGACATTCAAGAAAAGGAAGGCCTTCATCTTGCAACTAGGATAACGCGAAGGCATTTAAATTGGTATAAGGAAAAAACGAAAGTGAAATTAGCTGCCCAAACGTTCAGCCAAACAGTTGCTAAGGCAATACATTATTTGAGAAATAAAAGCTCAAACGAATTTGTACATAGCGAAGCTACTCACAATTTTATTGAACATATCAATGATATTTTAAATAGCAGAAATTTATTGGCAAAACACCAAAAATCTAGTTTACAGCAACATAATAAACAAGCGATTTTTCAGAAAACTGAAGAATCTATAGTTCACTTAAGTGTTCCAAAAATGGTGAAACCCCTATATCTAAGCCAAAGAAAGACGGGTTTTATTGGTATGATCATTAGTTTAAAGTCACTAATGGGAATTTGGAAAAATTACGTGGAGGATATGGATGGAGGTCTGAATTATCTTTCGGCCTATAACCTTTCTCAAGATCACTTAGAAGTTTTTTTTAGTTCTATTAGGAGTCATGGAGGTTACAACAACAACCCAATGGCAAAACAATTTAAAGCTGCATGGAAGAGACTCTTAATGCACACAAATGTTACAGGATCTACCCAGACTTACTGTATAGAACAGGCACCTTCCATAATATTAGCAATGAGCACAACAAATACTGTGAAAATGAAAACTGTTGATCATCAACTCATTGACAACTTTATAGCTGATAATGAATTTATATTATTAACTGAAAATATTAGGGAAACAATAACTAGTAACCAGGATCAGGATTATACTGTAAATAATTTAAGTTTTTCAAGAACATTGTCATCTTATGTTTGTGATGTTGACTATATCGCTGGGTTTGTCGTTAAGAAAGTTAAGTAAACATTAGATTGTGACATACGTTTGTATGCAATTGAATATGATAATTTACAATCTCCATTCATAAGACACAAAAATTATAGCATATCAAAAAAATTTTTAATTCATCCTTCTAAAGACGTCATTCATATTTGCAAAATTGCTGAAAGCGAAATTAATTTTATTTACAATTCAAAAAAATTAAACGATTCCAAATTAATGACAAAATTGATCTTAAATGTCATGAGTAACGGCATGGTTACCCGCTACCACGATGCAGCCACATGATTGGCCAGCGCGCGCTTCTTGACGTTCGCGCCACGTAGTGTGCCGATACGTCCCGACACGACAGGTCACCGCGACTATAAATAGAGCGGTAGCGGAGTAATCGTCGGATTCACTCCCCGCCTCTCGACGCGTTAGTGTTCTGAGCTGTTGGACGTGAATCCCTGTCCTGGCATTTGGTTTTCACCTCTGGCTGCGTTAAGTAGTTGAGTTACTGTGACCAAATGCCCATCTTGGTAGTTAGTATTCGCCTCTGGTTGCGTTGAGTAACTGAGTTACCGTTGCTAACTACCCATCTTCCTGTCTTTTGATTTCTTTTTCTTTGTTCTCCTGAAGAAGCTACATACAATTGTAGATGAACCCACTTTTGGGTCACTCACAAATGACACGGTCCAAACCCGGAAGACGAATAAACTATAATTCTACTAGTGCTTTACTAAGAATCCAAGCGGGCTCTTGCCGCATTGTGACGTCACTTTCGCGGAAGGTCTTTGCTTCAACGGTTCGGTACAAGCCGTGTCTATCAGTTTTTATGGTCTAAGGACACTACTTTATCGAAGGCAATTTAAACGGTGCAACGTACCTTGTGTTTTTAAGGGGATATCTCGTACCTACTTTACGTAATTTGTTACCCAGCAGACTTAATCCTGGAGGTTTTGATGAAAGTTTACGGTTGCAATAGGATGGTGCATCTCCACATTATGCTGTAGATGTTAGAAGGTACCTAGATGAAATTTTTCCGAACAGGTGGATTGGTAGACGTGGACCTATTGAATGGCCAGCGAGGTCACACGATTTCAATCCTTTGGATTATTATTATTTGGAAATTTATTTATTATTTGGATTTATTTATTATTTGGATTATTATTTATTTGGATTATCCTTTGGAAATTATGTGGGGCTATCTGAAGAATTAATATGATCCAAGTTTACGCTCCCACTGCTGATAAGACCGAAGATGAGATCGAAAACTTTTATTTAGAATTGCACAATACAATCAAGTTAACAAAATCTAGAGATATTACTTACATTTTAGGAGATTTTAATGCAAACATTGGAGTAGGTACAGTTGAAAATATAGTTGGACAGTTCGGACTAGAAACGAGAGAGGAGAAAGGCTCATAGAATTCTGCCAAGAAAAGAATATGGTAATTGCCAATACTTGGTTTCAGCTTCCTAAAAGAAGACTATATACATGGACGTCTCCTTCACATACAGAAAACCACATTGTCAGAAACCAGATAGACTTTATACTCGTAAATAGCAGATATAAAAACTCTATAACCTCAGTTAAAACTTATCCTGGAGCAGATGTTAACTCAGACCACAATCCGCTAGTGGCTGACGTGAAAATAAAATTAAAAAGAATTGAACTCAGAAAACAACAACCGAAAATTAACGTAAGAATGCTACAAAACGAAGAAATAAAAAATAGTGTGAATGTTAATATGCAAAAAACACTAACTGACAACAAACAAATTATGGATGTAAATAAAAAGTGGTGTAATATAAAAAACTCATTACTGAAACCAGCTCAAGAAAGTTTAATAGAACATAAATCAGAGGCTAAAAAACACTGGATGACAGAAGAAATACTATTACTGATGGAAGAAAGAAGGAAATATAAAGGAAAAGATCTACAGAAGTATAAAGAAATACAACGAATAATGAAGGAAAAAATCAAAACAGCTAAGGAAATCTATTTGATGAAGCAATGTAAAGAGATAGAAGAACTAGAAACAAAATATGATATGAGAAATATGCAAAAAAATTAGAGAAGTGATGGAATGGTCGAAATAGACAGAGGACCCATAAAAGACAAAAAAGGAGTACTACTAGTAGATTTACCAGAGAAGTTAAGGCGATGGGAGGAGTACGTTAGAGAACTTTTCCAAGATGAAAGAGGTGAAATGCAGAAAATACAAGAATTAAATCCTTTAGAGATCCAGAAGATCACGATAGATGAAATCAAATATGCTATCAAAAACTCTAAAGACAATAAGGCAGCTGGATTAGATGAAATACCAGTAGAACTCTTAAAACTAGTGGAAGAGGACAACTTGGAAGTATTGGCAGATTTATTCAACACGGTGTACGATACGGGAATAATACCACAGGAGTGGCTAAAGTCAGCATTTATAACCATCCCTAAAAAACAAGCAGCAAAAGAGTGCTCTGATTATCGAACACTGAGCCTCATGAGTCATACTTTAAAAGTTCTGCTAAAAATAATACATAAGAGAATATACGAAAGGCTAGAGGAGGATATTAGCGAGACGCAGTTCGGGTTCCGAAATGGAATGGGTACTCGAGAAGGACTATTTGCCATCAACATATTAATTCAGCGATGTCGGGATGTGAATGTTGATCTACACTTGTGCTTCGTTGACTACGAAAAAGCTTTCGATAAAGTAAGACATGAAAAACTAATATCAATACTTATGAACAAGCGCATTGACAGTAAAATCATAAATATAGTGCAAACATTATATTGGAACCAAAGTGCCATAGTTCAAATTGATGGGCAACACTCAGAAGAAATGAGGATCTGTAGAGGAGTTAGACAGGGATATGTGTTATCACCACTTTTGTTTAACTTATATTCTGAAGAAATTTTCCAAAACACGCTCAATAATATCGAAGCGGAAGTCACCGTTAACGGAAAATTAATTAATAATTTAAGATATGCAGACGACACTGTGATCATAGCAACGAGTATAGAGGATCTACAACATCTTATCGAAAGCTTGAGTATAAATAGTGCTGAGATGGGAATTACTATAAACGCCAAAAAAACGAAGTACATGCTGATTACAAAAAGGCCACAAAATATACATCACCTATTGACAATAAATGGTAACGTGATAGAACAAGTAGAAAAATATCAGTATTTGGGAACTTTGATCAATGAAACCAATGATCATACTGTAGAAATAAACAGACGAATAGAGATTGCCAGATCAGCATTTATACGAATGAAGCCACTCCTAACGTGCAAAAATCTAAATTTGGAGATTAAAGATAAAAGATTAGAAAGAGACTTGGACATTAAAAACATGTAATTTAAAAAGAATCGAGGCCTTCGAACTCTGGTTATACCGCAGAGTATTGAAAATATCATGGACTGATAGAATTACAAATAAAGAAGTACTGGAGAGGGTTGGTAAAGAAACAGAACTAATCACCACTATACAAACCAGAAAACTGGAATACCTAGGCCACGTGATGAGGGGACCAAAATATGAAATTTTGAGACTGATAATACAGGGAAAGATTCAAGGAAGAAGATCTGTTGGCCGAAGGCAGAACTCATGGTTAAAGAATATACGTGATTGGTACCAATGCAGATCGATTGATTTGTTTAGAGCAGCAAGTTCTAAAATAAAAATAGCCATTATGATTGCCAACCTCCGTAGGGAGACGGCACTCTAAGAAGAAGATCTGAAGAATGTTGTGTATCAAACGAAACCAGCAAATATTCAAGAATTACAACAGAGAATTCGAACAGCAATAAACAATATTTCTCAAGACACAATAAACAAGGTTCAACAAGAATTTGTACAACGTTTGGGTTACTGTCAAATACAGCAAGGGCTGCAGTTCGAACATTTATAAAGTCATGTATTTCATCATATTCTGTCCGCTACACAATAAGTATTTTAGATATTATCG